CTACTCTTCAAGCCTGAATCCCGTTGTGCTGCAGAAGTGAAAAAAAAAACATCAAACGAAGTATATTTTAACATTGTCCTTAAAGAACGGTGACCGTGACGTCATCAGACCAGCATTCAATGTTTTTTTTTCCCTTGAGAAAACAATTTATTTCGAAAAACGCGAGGAATCTGCAAGAATATTCTCATGGAAAATATAACACACAAAAGGTGACAAAAAACTATATCAGATTTCCTTAAAATAAAGCTTACAGCATATAATGATATTGAGGTTTAGATACTTTTCTTAGCCTCTGTAATGAAACTTGCAGGTCTTGCAGTGTAAAAGAAATTCACTTTGCCAAGACCAACGAACTATAAAGTGTCTGTTGGTTCTAAATAGTCCTGATGCAGTGCCTACAACCTTTTATGACTCAAAATATATATAAAAAAACATTGCTATGAAGGGTATGGATACATAAAAAATCTCGGTAATTTATATCACTAGCATTTTTGTTTTTAGATTCTTTCTTTCCGATCTTAAACGATATATTTTTATCTGCCATCAGNAGAGCAGAGAGAGAGAGGAAGAGGAGAGAGAAGAGAGGAGAGAGAGAGAGACGCGACGAGACGACAGAGAGAGAGAAGACGAAAGAAAGAGAAGAGAGAGAGGAGAGAGAGAGAGAGAGAGAGAGAGAGAGAGAGAGAGAAGATGAGAGAGAGAGAGAGAGAGAGAGAGAGAGAGAATGAATGAAAGAAAGACAGACAGAATGAATGAAAGAAGGAAAGAAGAGAGAGAAAGAAAGAGAGAGACAGAGAAAAAGACAGAAGAGAGAAAGACAGGGAACGTGTGCGTGTGCATATATGAGTGCATCTGCCTATGTGTGCGTGTGTGAGCGTGTGTGTGTCTATGTGTTACCTCGCTCATGGCTACACTGAAGCCGTGGAGGGCGTATCCCGTGTAGACATTCGTGTTCTTGAAGCATTTCCCGTGGAGGTAATAGCATTCATCTGTGGGAAGGAGATGCATGTCATTTTCAGATACGAAAACACACAAATTAAACTGTATTTGGATATGAGGTGAAAATAAAAGAAAGAGAATTTGCGAAAACACACAAATTTAATTGTATTTGGATATGAGGTGAAAATAAAAGAAAGAGAATTTGCGAAAACACATAAATTAAATTGTATTTGGATATGAGGTGAAAATATAAGAAAGAGAATTTGCGAAAGCACAAATTAAATTGTATTTGTATATGAGCAGAGGTGAAAATAAAAGAAAGAGAATTTGCGAAAACACACAAATTAAATTGTATTTGGATATGAGGTGAAAATAAAAGAAAGAGAATTTGCGAAAACACACAAATTAAATTGTATTTGGATATGAGGTGAAAATAAAAGAAAGAGAATTTGAAGGATATTATATTAAACCAATCATTTCCATTAAAAATCTTGAAGTACACATACACAGACTAACTCCTCACACGTCAAGAGATCAGACACGGAAAGAGACAAGATAATAAAAAACAAATTAAATTGTATTGGGATATGGGCAGCGGTGAAAATATGAGAAAGCGGGATATATGAATATAAGGATATGACAGAGAGAGAGAGAGAGAGTAGGAAGAAGATAAATAGATAGATAGTAGGAAGAATATATATACATAGATAGATAGAGAGAGAGAGAGTAGGGAGAAGACAGATAGATAGATAGAGAGAGAGTAGCAGAAGAAGAAGAAGAAGAAGAAGAAGAAGAAAGAAGGAAGAAGAAGAAGGAGGAGGAGAGAGAAAGAGAGTAGGAAGAAGATAGATAGATAGATAGAGAGTAGGAAGAAGATAGATAGATAGAGAGAGGCCGCCAAACCCCAGTGTCAGAAAGGGAGAACAAAGTTCAAAGTGAAAGACTAAGCTCCAGGCACTCACCAGGATAAGGAAAGAGAGAGAGAGAAAAAGAGAGAGTAGGAAGAAAGATATATATAATATATATTATATATAGATAGATAGATAGAGAGAGAGAGAGTAGGAAGAAGAAGAAGAAGAAGAAGAAAAAGAAGAAGAAGAGAGAGAGAGAGAAAGAGAGAGAGTAGGAAGAAGATATATATATATATATATATAGATAGAGATAGAGAGAGAGAGAGAAAGTAGGAAGAGAATAGAGAGACAGAGAGAGGCCGACAAACCCCAGCGTCAGAAAGGGAGAACAAATTTCAAAGTGAAAGACTAAGCTCTAGGCACTCACCAGGATAAGGAAAGAGAGAGAGAGAGAGAGAGAGAGAGAGAGAGAGAGAGAGAGAGAGAGAGAGAGAGAGAGAGAGAGAGAGAGAGAGAGAGAGAGAGGAGAGAGAGAGAGAGAGAAGAAAGAAAAGAGAGAGAGAAAGAGAGAGAGTAGGAAGATAGATAGATAGAGAGCAGGAAGAATATATATACATAGATAGATAGATAGAGAGAAAGAGAGTAGGAAGAAAGACAGATAGAGATAGAGAGAGAGAGTAAGAAGAAGAAATTTCAAAGTGAAAGACTAAGCTCCAGTCACTCACCAGGATAAGGAAGGACCTTGACATATTGGCCTCGAGCGTTGTGCAGAACGAAACACGCGCCACGGGGTTGGAGGGCGACGTATATACTGGCTCTCCTTGGGTATCGAGGGGCGCAGACCTGTGAGAAGAAGGCACGGTTGGACCCTTATCTCTCTCTCTCTCTCCGTATTCGGCCGTGTCTCTCTCGTTCTCTCTCTCTCTGAGGCTCTCTCCTTTCTCTCTTTCTGAGTTTCTGAGTTTCTCTTTTCTCTCTCTCTCTCTTTCTGAGCTTCTCTTTCTCTCTCTTTTTGAGTTTCTCTTTATCCTCTCTCTCTCTCTCTCTGAGTTTCTCTTTCTCTTTCTTCTTCTCTTTCTCTCTCTCTCTTTTTCTCTTTCTCTTTTTCGCTCTCTCTTTCTGAGTTTCTCTCTCCTCTCTCTCTCTCTTTCTGTCTCTGGGTTATTTTGAATTATTTGTGAAGGGGTACTCATCTATCTATCTATCTATATACACACACACACACACAGCCTCATCCATTCTCAACGCCTCATATATATGTTTATATAAACAAACACACACACAACACACACGCCCACATTGTGTGTGTATGTGAGTGTAGGTGTGTGGGTATGTGTGTATGTTACAGGTGCTTTTGTGTAGGTGTGTATGGTAGCGTGTATGCGTGTGTGTGTATGTGGTGTGTATGTGTACGTGTGTAGTGTGTGTAGGTGTGTATGTGTACGTGTGAGTGTGTGTGTGTGTGTTGTTGTGACGTGTGAGCGTGTGTGTGCATGTAGGTGTGTGTATGTAGGCGTGTGCGTGCGTGTGTAGTGTGTGTGTGTGCGTGTGTGTGTGTAGTGTGTGTGCGTGTGGGTGCGTGTGTACGTGTGAGTGTGTGTGTGTGTAGGTGTGTGTACGTGTGAGTGTGTGTGTGTGTAGGTGTGTGTACGTGTGAGTGTGTGTGCGTGTAGGTGTGTGTACGTGTGAGTGTGTGTATGGTGTACGTGTGAGTGTGTGTGTGTAGGTGTGTATGTGTACGTGTGTGTGTGTGTGTGTAGATGTGTGTACGTGTGAGTGTGTGTGTATAGTTGTATGTGTGTATGAGTGTGTGTGTATAGGTGTGAAGTATGTGTGTACGTGTGAGTGTGTGTGATGTGTTATGTGTACGTGTGAGTGTGTGTGTGTAGGTGTGTAAGTGTACGTGTGAGTGTGTGTGTATAGGTGTGTATATGTACGTGAGTGTGTGGTGTATAGGTGTGTGTGTATGTGTGTGTGTGTGTATAGGTGTGTATGTGTACGTGTGAGTGTGTGTGTGTAGGTTGTTATGTACGTGTGAGTGTGTGTGTTAGGTGAGTATGTGTGAGTATGTGTAGTGTGTATGTGTACGTCGTGATGTGTGTGTGTATGTGCGTGTCCTTCCTTACCGCCAGTTTTGAGCTCGCAGAATCCGTGGCGAAGACCGTCTCCCCAAATCCAATGCCCTGAGCTAGTAAACCTCCCCCGAGCAGCGCCGGGCTTGCTCGCGTCTACAGCCAGGGGACAAAAAAAAGGAGGAGAACAGCTGTTAAGGTTATTGTTCTCAAAAGCATCTGTGGCTTGAGATTCGCGAAGGGATGACAGAGCAGATACAGCTGCGAGGATGTATTATTATTATCATTATTATTATTCATATTATTATTATCATTGTTCTTCTTTTACTATTAAGATGATTATTATTACTATTATTATTATCATTATTATTACTATTATCATTGATGTTAATATTTTGATATCGGTATTTGCATTATCAATATCAATATCTTTACTGTCATTTTTATTATAATCATTACTATTATCATCATTGTAATCATTATCACCATCATTATTATCAATATTTTGAAATTTGGTCAGCTACCAAAGAACAGGGAATTAATAAACACAATAACTTTACACTAAGAACAGATTCATATCTTTACATCTATAAATCACACACACACACACACACACACACACTCACTCACACACACACACTCACTCACACACACACACTCACACACAGACACACACACACACACACTCACACACACACACGCACACACTCACACACACACACACACACAGACACACACACACACACACACAGACACACACACACACATACACACACTCACACTCACACAGACACAGACACAGACACACTGACACTGACACAGACACAGACACAGACACACACACACTCACACAGACACAGACACACACACACACTCACACTCACACACACACACACAGACACACACACACACAGACACTCACACACTCGCAAAAACACACACACACACACTCACACACACACACACATACACACACACACACACATATACAGATCTTCCTTTACATATTTGTCCTTAAGTATAAATATAGACCTCACCTGCGCTCGAGAGCTTCGGCAGGCCAGGATAAGGTGGACAATCGGTACCAAACGGTTCACACAGGTGCACGTTTCCAAGGGGGATTGTACCATTCGCATCTGTGGCAGCGGTTCCTCTGGGCGCCCCCACGACCAGCCTGTTGGGGTGTCGTTGTGGTTTGAGGGGAAAAAGGGATGTGTTTAGGCCTGTCTGTTTCTCTTTTCTCTCTCCCTCTCTTTATATATAGATAAATAAATAAATAAGTATATATTATATATATATATATATATATATATATATATATATATATATATTAATATATATATATATATTAATCTACTGAATAAACAACAACCAAGAAACTATCACAAAGACAAAGACGAAAAAGAAAAAAGAGAAAATCAAATTTCTTCCCGACCTGTATTTCCTCCTCTCATCCTCCCACAAAGCGACTGAGTACCCGAAGTGAGTCTTGTTCGGCCCGACCAGCACCCGCGCCAGGTCGGTATCCAGGTTGAAGGCCGTGGTCAGCCTTAGCACAGCAAGCACAAATGCAAGCACAGTCCATTCCCGCTGCGGTTTTCTTCGGCCGGGGAGAGAAAGACCTGGTCTGGTGAGGTCCGGTGCGGGTGCCATGCTGGAATTAGGATTTTAAGGTGAACTAATACAAATCTATGCTGTTTTTAAGAGATCGTCATGTTGGAAATTAGAGGTTTAAGTGTAAATCAACTGCAAACCTATGCTGTATCGGGGTTTGTTATAGCGATATTGTACTGTAGCAATACCCACATCATAATAGTAATTAGAAGTAGTGTCAGTAGTCAGTAAGTAGTAATTAAGTATAATATAAATACAGATATATAGTAGTAGTATAGTATATAGTAGTATTATATATAATTAGTACTATATATATATATATTATAGCTATATAATATATATATATAATATAGTAGTACTAGTGGTAGTAGAAGTAGCTGTAATAATTAGGATAATAGGGTCACACGCAATAAGTATATTCATACTTGAAGATTTTTACTAAAATCACCTCTTTCTCAAGTACACAGGCGAGGTAATAAAGGTAATGATCATTATAATAGTTACTCCTTATTGCTAAGGCATTAAGGGGTAACTATAATCCGCATCAAAACCAAGATTTAATGGTATCTTAGCTTAAACACCTCATTTCATAAAAATCTGTTCTTTATTTTTGAGTTATATTGATAACCAACCAGCAAGCAAACAAACAAACTAGCCAACGCTACCAAAATCATAAGATAAGATAACTTTATTGTCAAATTGTGATATAATACGTATACAAATTGAAAATCTTTGTGGCTCAGAGCTCTCGGCTATAAAAGTCAAAGGAAAGTAAGATATAAGTAAAACATATAAGAATCTGAAAATGAACATTTCAATCAGACCATTACATTACATTTACATTAATCAATCATATAACACACCCACAACGCAAAATATTACACACAGTACGAATATTATTTCATGCAGGCAATCACAGAATACCATAATTATTTCGTTTCTGTATGGTTAAAAGAATGTTTTTTATGGCACAAAAGATTTTCTATATCAGTGCATAGAGCAAGTAATGCTAGTCTCCCCCCCCCCCCCCCCTCCGACTTAATGTACACATAGCAATGCTGCAGAAGATAGCTTCAGTCGTTCATCATCTTCACCTGTTTTATTACACCTTCATGATAGAGCACACGCTTCTCGTGCATTAAAATAATACAATATCTTTTCGCTTGCAGATTAGCTAGCGCTGATGTGGCTGTCACCGTTCCTGACAAACATGACACGAAAGACAAAGGACTTACTACTTTGGAAGAAAGAAGAGAGAGGGTTGACAGGATTGCACTGTTCCATTGTGTTAGAGAAGAATGAAGCCAGACAAAGATGACAACTATAATTTTGAACACAAGGGGGACGAGAGGACAGTAAAAAGTTGAAAGTAGGAAGTGAGAAAATGTCAAGAAGTTAAGTTTCCCAAGCAAACCAGTGAATTAGTTTCAACGACTAACTTCGTAGCTTTCTTAACTACCTTTTTTAGCTTCTTGTCAATGCACGCTAGCCTGCCAGAACAAACTTACTAAGAAGCATATAAAGGATTGTACAATGGAATTATAAAATAGGGTAAGGATTTCTCTCTACACGTAAATGGAGCCTGTGAATGCATTTTTAAACACCAATATGAGATCAGGTACATTCTTTTGCAAATAGTTACAGTATTCTTCAGTCACCATTCTAAAATCAGATGGCCCTGTTATTTTCCCGATTATAACCATTTCGTCTGCATACTTTAATGGGGAGGGCCAGATCAGTAGCAACTCGGGGTGTCATGGCGTCTGTTTTGATGATTGTTCAATGAAAATATAACCATTAAAATAATTAGTTTCCATCCTTTTTGAAAATTGAAGAGACCAAAATGATCGACCATATTCACAGAGCATCCGTAACTTTTGTGACGTCATCAAAATAAACCCCATGTACTTTTTTTTCTAAAAATAGAATCAGACTTCATGACACCCCCTCGAGTTGCTACTGATCTAGCCTTCCCCGTACTTTAATAGTGAGAATGTGCAGCTGCTGAAATTACTCCTGAAATC